TTTCGATTTTCCAAAGTTTTGGAGGACAATTTTGATGCAAACGGATAATTAGATTCCTGAGAAGTCTAAACGAAGGACATTTACGGTGTTTTGACTTTTAAAAAAGTTGAAATTATTGAAAAAACTGAGCGCGCACACACAGCTTCAATTTTAAATGACAGTTCCATCCGAGCGATCTTTTTCAGACGCAAAGTTTAATAATACGTTATGAAATAATTGGAAACCGTTATTTGAAGTAAATTTTAGTAAGAATTCTACTAAAACAATTAGATTATTCGCTCTCGATTTCTATGAGGTGGTAGTTGATTCGGCCTTCGGCCTCATCAACTATCACGTCATAGAAATCTCGAGCTCATAATCTAATTGTTAAGTAATATAAATCTACTAGCGTTCTATCACGAATGCAGTTCTCTGATTCGCTATGCCACTATCTATTCTGTTGTAGATATTGAGTAGCGTATAAGCGTGCGCTAGGGACCGCTTCTTTGTGTTTTCAAAGTGTCTAAGAGGATTTAGATTAAACTTTTGAACGACAGCACGCGATAGAAATCTCGAGCGCATAATGTAATTGTTTATTATATATATACGTTGGGCAATATATATATAATTTATATAATAGTCTCCATAAATTAGATGAGAAGGATAGTGGTCCGATAGATAGTGCCCCCCACCACCCGCCCATACTTTAGCCGGCAGCCCTCCGGTTTCCGATGCGATTGCGAGATCTTGCGAATGTTCTTCGATCGAGAATTTCATTTCTCGATATTTCACTATCTCCCACTGGTTCGCCAGATGCATAAAACTATTCGTGACTGATGTGACTGCGGCCGATAATGTAGCAAAGGTAACCGCTGTGCTTCTATATTAATTGATGAAACCATTTCACCGTAACTAAAACAGAACTTAATGCCGCGTTATAACATATTATTTTCACGCATGGTACCCAGTAAAAGCATATGATAGGGAGAGCAGATCCTGCTAACAATACTTTCCAGTTTAACCTAGAGTAAATCCATTGCGCTGAATTGTTTTACTACAAGGCATAAAGATTTGTCAGTTCCAAATATTAAAAACCGGTTACTGCAAAACCGATATGGGGTCCTCTCAATACGTCCTTAAAGTCCTTAGAACATAAGAACTATAGTTTCTCTTTTTCCGAAATTTGGAATATTCCGAAGCGTTCATCTTGAATAACCTGCATGGTTGTATGTCGATACGAGTGTATGTAATTGTTTATTTTCCTTGAAAACTCTAAAATGCAGCTTTCATAGAATAAAAAGTCAATTTGAAGCTACAGTTCTCTTTAAAGGTTTTCCGTTAAAAATTCATATTCGGGAATGTTTGACGGGGAAAAATATTGTGATCCGGTTTAACATTAAAGTTTCCAAGGATATCGGTGACCCGCTTCAATATCCCGTGCGTAATAACATCCTGTGATAAATAAAAACCTAGAACCTATGATTTAGGTACACCATGGGTACCGCCCTTATTAAATCCATTTTGAAATCACTGGTTATCCTTGCAATCTGATTAGCTCTCAGTGGTGCGATTTATTC